TGAGCCTGTCGGACAGATACAGCACAGATTAAATCACATGTGCAGAGATCCTCTGTGTTTTGTGGCTCACAGAACTGTTTCTCTGACCTCTGACCTCTTTCTGGTACAAACAGCTGTGTTATTTATCTACAAACATGGCCTCGTTAGCTCTCATATAAATTCAGTGCTCATGGCGCTGGCGTGGTTTCAGACTGCTCTGCAGGGTTGGCCAGGCTTTAGTTTGCTCCTGTGTTAGTCTGGGAGACAGTCTAACAAAAACAGACAGTCCTATTAAAGCCTGAACAGTGAGCGCCTGCACCCTGAGGCTAACCGCAGTAAGACCCATTTAAAAAAAGTCACAATTTACCTAGAACTCATCATCATGTAGTGGCAGAGGATACAGACACACGCAATGTTATATCATCATGTTATTATTCTAGAAGTTATTATAACAGAGTCATGAATTCTGTTGCGCAAGACGTTTAAGTGACTTTATCTGTTGCCTGGACATTTGCATCGTCTCGGACGCCCACGTGAGCACGACAGAAAAATGTAACTATAAAAACATTTTGATTTCCTATATGGTATATGGAGTGGAGACAGAGGGTCTTATTAATAAAACTGCAAAGTGTTAGGTGTAAGTGAAGTTCAAAAGTGTCAGAATTTAAAAAAAAAAAATTTTTTTTATAAACAATAATATATTTATAACAGGGCAATAAAATAACCAGAACTGGGAGGTCGGTAGCTGCAGGGAGGAGCCGGTGCTCTCCTTACACTCCATGTTGATTATTTAATTAACAATATCAGGTTTTGAGATATTGACTTCTATTTTTGACTTGTCTGATCTTTTACCACCTTCTGTTTTGGGGCGCTCCACAGTTCAGATTAATGAGTAATAATGATGATGTGCAGCCACGGGGCTCATCCAGGCAGCTCTGCTGTGTAGGCTGGAGTCAGCTGAAATGGGCTTTGGATGAAATTTAATGATGATTTTAGAAACTGCCCCCAGTCTCCCAAATGTTTACTTGTTATAAATGTGAACACATAGAACTGTTTTGGTACTCCAGATTCCTCTCACAGTCCAAAAACATGCAGCTTAGGTTGACTGGTGACTCTAAACTGCCCCTAGGAGTGAGTGTGAGTGTGTGTGGTTGTTTGTCTACATGTCAGCCCCTGTGACAGACTGGCAACCTGTCCAGGGTGAACCCCACCTCTCGCCCAATGTCAGCTGGGATTGACTCCAGCCGCCCACGACCCTGTTCAGGAATAAGCGATATAGATAGTGGATGGAAGGACTGTGGGAGTTAGTGTCAGCGGGCGACCTCTTGAGCTGCGACTCAATACCCTGGTAAAGGGGCCGATGTTAAAGCTGAGAGCACAACAATTTCAGCTGAAATTATTTAAATTTTAACATCTGTGTGCCATAAAACATATGCATTAAAACACTGAATATATAATTCCTTTAAGACTGCAATTAAACATTAAGTGGTGTGTGTGCATGTGAATGTGTGTCTGTTTATGTCTGTGCCTTTCATGCCCATGTCAAACATTTTTCAGATTTTCCAAGTATCAAAAATATTAGTACACTACCGACCACTTTAGCTCAGGTAGCTCAGCTAAAATGGGCCAGTAGCTAAAACTGGGTTTTTCCCTTTTCTCTTTTCTTTTTAACATTTTTTCCTTCAATTTCAACTTCTTCATTTGAGAGAGTCTCTCCAGACATTGTTTAGAAACATTTTTCTCTGTTGGTAATCTTACTTATATTAGTTTGGTCCTTGTTAGTGAAATCTGTCATGCTGGCTTAAAAACCATTTCTCTGAGAGACCTGAACCAACTCTGTCCACATCAGCAGCCTCCGACTGATCAGACCTGTTGATACACGTCGAGTGATGCAGCAGCAGCGTGAAGTCGGTCACTCCGGCTGGTTGTGAAGTTTCAGAGAGCGACGACGCCCTGGTCTAATTTGGCCCATTTTAGCTGCGCCCACCCTACACATCACACCCTACATCAAATATGACAGATATCAGCTTTAAAAATCACAGATTTCCACAGAAACGCGAGGGTGAAAAACACAAAATCGAGAATCTCCCACACATATGCTCATTTACAGGATAAATGTCCTGACTGTGTTGACTCCGGTGGAGCAGTAACATGGTTTTGACCTCTGACGGGATCGAACTGGGTTTCCTAACTGGACCGTGTGAACGGTTCCAAACCCGCATCTGAGAAACCGGAGCGCCTCGGACGGAGACCGTGACCCCGCATGTGCCTTTCTGGTAACGTGGAAACTTGGGCCAGCATGTTCTCATCCTCCGCTCCGTAATAAAGCCTCACTCCTACCTGAGTCCAGCTTAAACAGCTCCGAAGGATCCTCCTCAGTAGAAACTGGTTCTACTGGAGATTGTTCGATAAAACACAGTTCAGTGTTTGTTTTCCTCCACTGATCACAGCTCGATGAAGTTTTATGTTGTCCGGGAAGTGGTGAGTCAGTTCCCATCAGCTGATACGTCCATGATGGAGCTGCCGTCAGGCAACACACCACACTTCCTGTTTTCAAAATAAATGCGTGTGGGTGGCATTCGCCATTACAAAAGAGCGAGTCGAAACATTATTTTCTTGCAATTTGTTGTAATTTCCCAGAAGGCTTCCTCAAAATCTTATGTAATTTGGTACTTTTATGAGATAATTATAATAAATTACAATAATTATAACAAACACTAATTTGACTTTAGATAGCTGTGTTAAGTTTAAAATATTCACTCAAAGATTTTTTTTAGAAACATATGAAACTGTATGCTTGCATGTAGGCACTTAATTACATTGAATTATTTGAAAGCTTAGGCCACCAGCTGCACACTGTGTACCAGGTGAACATTTGGATGTCTTTGTTTTATTTATTTATTTGTTGTTTATATGCTGACTACAATGTTAAATATGTGGGCTTTGCTGTGCCAGTTCTTTTCAGGCAGTTACAGGATCTGTAAAATAAAGTGACAGACCTTGGTTTGATGCTGTGAGAGAAATTTTCTTTCTTTTCATCACTTTTTATCCTCACAGAAATTATGTATAGTTTTATAATAAAATATAGATTACAGTGAGGAACAGAAGTATTTGAACTTCTGTTGAAGTTCTCCCACTTAGAAATCATGGAGGGGTCTGAAATTCATATTGTAGGTGCATTCCCACTCTGAGAGACAGAATTTAATTTTTTTTTTCAGAAAATCACATTGTATGATTTTTAAAGAATTTATTTGTCTTGCACTGCTGAACATAAGTGGGAGAACTTGCAAAAATGCAGGGTGTTCAAATACTTCTGTTCCTCACTGTATATTAACTGACAACTGCCAGAACACATTATTTTTGCTTTCATAATAGCACCAACCAATACCTTAATTTATTGGAAACCAATCTCCAACAATAAAGCAGTCACGTTCGTTACAGGTAAGGAAATTTGCCCTTTCCTTTACAGCGACGTTCCGTGCTTTTATTTTGACGGTCAAATGGCTTGCATTCCGGCCTTGTTGTGTTTGACTTGCTGACGTGCAGCTGGGAGGAGGTGCTGCTGATCCCGTAGCTGAACACAAATCCAGGAAAAGTTAGGGTGACGGCTATTTCATCACATGTTAACCAGAGTCAGAGGTCAAACGCTGCACGTCCACTACATGTAAAACTTCACTGTCAACAACAACATATCACACCAGACTGTTTCTTGTTTGAGTCATCTGATTCTGAAAAGCAGCTAAAGTTTTCAAATACAAGTAGTACAGTTAAAATATAAGGTTTGTCTCTAACGTTTTAACCCGAAAGTATCTTGTAAAAACGAACAGAGTATATGGTTTTAATATGAAACGTTAAAACAAGATTTAGGCTGCCGTAGTTCTCATGTGTAATATGAAATGTAACCCTGCAGGCTCTGATGGATTAAAGCACCAATACACGTGATGGTGCAGGAGTTCTTTATCTTTTTTTATGCATCTTTGTCTTTTATAGGTAACTGTAGCTCTGAAGATCTACTTTACTTTGAAGGGCCATGGGCGTTACTAGACATAAAGTTATATTTTTCTTGAAATAACTACAGATAAAGGTAAAAATGTAGAGATATTAATCTTTATGAAAATATTTCAACATTAAGAACATTGTTTTTATGGCATAAAGGTCTGACCCTGTGTTGCACATTTTTTTGCATTTCAGTGAAATTAATCATTGTGAAATGATTTCACATTGATTAATTTGACTGTCAAGCCCCAGTTTGATTTGCCTGTCAACAAATCATCCACTGTCGCTCACAATGGCTTTATTCTCCCTGACTGGTGCTTTCAGATGTCTTCTGTCTTTAGCTTCCTCTCACATGCAGACAAGTGTTGTCCTCAAGTCCCCATAATAAATAAGAAACGTGTTTTGCATTAATTGGGTTACTGAGGTGGTGTAGTTGCACAAGAACAGCTGTAGCGAGCCACGTTCCCATCTCATGTTCCCATCAGCTTACAGCTGAATAAATACAGCCTATTTAGATGAATGTAACAAACAGTAGGATCCCAGCCCGTTACCATCTATTAAAGAAATCCAAGTCTGCTAAACAAATGAATGATTGGGCTTACTGACGGTTTCTTCACTCCAGTTCAGGCTCTTTACCTACTGCTGATTTAACAGGGTGGCTCTGCTCTTTATCCACCTGCTGTCATGATGAATCTTATTATCAAAGCTCCAATGACTTTTATAGTCATCACGCACAAGCTTAACTCTGAGTTAACTGAACTCAGGCAGCGGAAAGAAGCTTTAATGATAGGTAAAAACACTGGAGAGCACTGCGAACACTGGGAAGGACTTCAAATCAATCTGAGTACAACAATTTTTAAATGTTTTTAGCTCTTCAGTAAGTAAGGCTGCACAATTAGTTTTAACAATATTAAGACATACTGCATGCTTTTCTTTATATGCGTACATGGAGCCACAAAAAGGAAAGCAGAATTAAATTTATTTTCTATTTATTTATGCTAATCAAAAGCATCCATTAAAAATATTTCATACGTCATTTAGAAAAAATCATTTATTGTATCCAAGGAGCTTCAACCATCTGTGGGCTACTTTGGAAATCAACTTTCCCTGGTTTTCACTTGGATATTTGGAGACAGACCTGTTTTTGTAATTCAGAGGTCTGCCTCCAGTATGAAGCTTGAGCCTGCTGAAGAATCACCAAAAGCCTAAGAATTCTTCTACTGGTCAGTCTCAAATGCGTGTGATTCAGAGGTCTGCCTCCAGTATGACCTCCTCCCAGTAGTCCTTGAAAAAAGACACATTGGCATTGTTCTGGCAGAACTGGCGTAGCCCGGGCCAAACCTCAGGGTCAACGTAGGTGTAGAAGATCAGGTAACCTTGGAGACTTGGCAGCAAAGCTTCAAGCTGAGCCAGAAACACAGCGCAGACTGAAGCCAAACTGTGGCCAAAGATGTTAATATGAAGATGCAGGGCATCATGGCGGTAGGGGACGGCATATGGTGTGGTGCACAGGCTGACAGCAGAGGGTTCCAGTTCATGATCGGCAATCCATGTCAACCCCCTGCGGCGCAGGACCTCCAGGTTGGCCTGCACTGGCTTCAGAGGCTCCCAGTCATTGATGATGGTTTTGTTGGGCAGCAAATTGGAAACCACATGGTCTGACAAGATTAGCATCTCGGCCTGCTGCTGGTCCAGAATGACCAGGCTGTGGGAGGAGGAGTTAGTCTGGCAGGGAAGTCTGGACTGAAGCTCAGCAACAAAGGGGCCAAGGTCAGTCACCTCACAGCACAGAGATAAGATGGCCTGCAGAGGGCGACACAGTGAAGACCAGGAGCTCAGGTCTGAGGTGGAAATAAAAGAGCTGAACAGATTCTTTGTCTGGTTTACTTAAAAATACCCTGAGCAGTTTATGATTACCAATCATGCTATGGAGCAATATATTTAAGAAAGTAAGTCCTAGGAACTGATGGTTTTTAAAGTTCTCTTTGGAATACTGAATAGTCCACGTCTTGGCTGGTACACCTACACTAAAGACCAAACAAGCAAAACTTGGAAAAACATGGGGGGTTTGGGGGTTAACACAAACAGTTGTCTTCACAGTGTGACTCACCTCTTTTGCTATGATTCTGTACTTAGCCAGAGTCTGTGGTGAAGGCTGATTCCCACGGGCCAGCCTGACAGCAGAGACTTCTGGGTAATGGTGGCGGACATAGTCAGTCACGTGCCTCTGGATGGCGCCGGCGATGCCGCGGCGTCTCAAATCAGGTGCCACCCTGAGACCCTGATGCACAACCGTCTGACCACCGTCCACCAGCAGTGCAGACTCCAGCGCCACCTACAGGTCACACACAGGTGAACTTTGACACTCTGGACTTTGGCTTGGGATATTTTTTGTTTTTATGCTGACATCCAGTTTTTTTAGTTTTCACATAAGCACACTGAAAACAAAATGTAGACACATGGAAACTATAGTGTGAAAGTTTGACATTTAGCAAAACGTAAAGAAAACCAGATGCTGTGGGCACAATGCAAGAACTTGTGCCTTTAAATGCCGTGACTTCATTCAGTCCTCACCACTCTGTTGTTCATCCTAGCGATGAAGACGAGGCGTCCAGGCTCCTGCAGCCAGTGCTGGAACTTGGCAGCCATGTAGTCCATCCCACTGTAGTCATCACTGCTGCAGAGGTTCAGGACCTACACCATAAACACACTGTCAATGTCACTGTTAATGAGAACTCATGTTTTAGGGCAGCAGACGGTGACACTGGGGAAACAGGTCATCCTGAGCTGTATTAAATTTAAATATTATTATTAGCAACATGCTCATCATTAATATGTTATGTTTGCATTAATTAGTTTATTAAGTATAACTGAGCCTATTAACATATGCTAATAACACATGCTAGAGCTAATACAAATAACAGCATGTACAAAATGATAACAATACAACTTGCATAACTTGGCAACTTTAATACCACATCTGTCGTTTGTGTAAGGTTGTTCCCATTTACACCAATAGACACTTTTTCTCGCTAACAGTAGTGAGAACTGTATATAGACTCAGTGAACAATTTATTAGGTACACCTGTCTTGAACTAAGCCAGTCTAATCCAGCAGTTCTGCAATAAGTCCTCCTTCATGATGGTGACAATGCTCAGGTTGTGTTCAAACTCTTTCAGAGACAAATTAACCTGACACTGCTTTACTACCAAGAATAAATGTAAATGATTAACCTGGATAGTTATGGGCATTTGCTGATTGAACTGAATGTTCACTTGTATCTTGTCAACTATTGGAAGCTGTTCTGAATTTGTTTAAGTAACAGAAAGATAATTCAGGTTTATTGCAGCTGAGGTTTTGGTTGTTTTGTCACTTTTTAAAATCAGTAATAAAACCGTAGTACTCAAAGTACTTTTTGAGATTTGGGTTTATGGTGTGACAGGAGAAATGAAGCCCAAGGCTACGAAAATAAGACCCCAATTGTAACAGCTGGAAAATTACCATACAAGGCAGGAAGACTTCATTTCAGTTCATTTTTATTTGTAAAGCACCAAATCAGAACAACAATCATGTCCGGGTACTTTACATAATATTTTACAGTATTATAGGAAAAAACCCACCAAATCCACCTTTAGCAGCATTTGGTGACAATGGAGAGGAAAAACTCCTGAAAAACAAAGATGGTTGACTTTGGCCTCTCTTGGACTTGGGTTTAAAGCACAGCCCACCACTGAAGTGACTATTAGATCACAACTTTATTCCACATATCGGAGGTGTGGTTATGTTCATGGATGCACACCAGAAGGGGGGTAAACTTGGTAATACATTCCGACTAACTGGAACTCCGAACACAGTGCTATTTAGCCCCTCACACGGTGGCTAATGTGACACACTCTGAGAACTGGAACATACCACTCGCGGGGGGAGAAACAAGAGGGGAGGAAATGGAATAGTCCAAATGACATTACCCTTTTAACAGCCGCCCCCAGATTTTGTGAGAAAATCTGCACATATAGAAAAGGCCTAATGCCGTTACACAACGTTAATGGTCTGGCACTTTAGGAAGGCTGATGATCCTGGAGACAGGTCGAATGTAGGAGCGATCCCTTACCCTCACTTCGACAGTCCTTACTTTACCATCAGGTGAAGGTGAAGTCTGGATGATCTGTCCAATAGGCCAACTAGCCCGAGGTAGCTGGGGGTCAACAACCAGTACTGTATCCCCAACTTGAAGGTTGGGAGAGTCAGAGCACCACTTCTGACGTGTCTGGAGGCCTGGCAGGTAGAAACGGATGAAACTCCTCCAAAAGTGGTCCGCCAGCAGTTGACTATGTCGCCAAATTTGTGCCTTGATCTGAAAGCAGTTCAAAGGGCTTGCCTCGGCGTGCCACAAATCTTCTCAGAGCCATCAAAAAGGAGTCAGAGTCAGTGCTAGAAAGGAGGTCCAAGTGAACTGCCCTAGTAGTCATACACTTGAAAATAATCCCCCATCTTTTCCCTCTTCAGGGACCGACTGTTCACCGATGGTGACTTGAAGTGCCTGTTTGAGTGACCTTATCACTCTCTCCCAACAGCCACCAAAATGGGGAGCGCTTGGTGGATTAAAGGTGAACTTAATCTGTTGAGATGAAAGGAGATCTTTAAGTCCAGGCTGAAGTGAGGTAAATGCTTCTTGAAGTTCACGCTCTCCACCTTTAAAATTAGTGCCTTGATCTGATAGCAGTTCAAAGGGCTTGCCTCGGCGTGCCCCAAGCTTCTCAGAGCCACCAAAAAGGAGTCATAGTCAATGCTAGAAAGAAGGTCCAAGTGAACTGCCCTAGTAGTCATACACTTGAAAATAATTCCCCATCTTTTCTCGGTTCTCCTACCAATCTTAATACGGTAGGGACCGAAGCAATCTACTCCTGTGGAATAAAAGGCCGGCTTGAGAAGGCGCAACCTTGCCGGAGGGAGATCTGCCATCCGAGGGTGTCTTGGGTTCCCACGCCATTTTCGGCATTCGGTACAACGATACTGATGTCGTTTGACTGCCTCCCTTCCCCTCAAAATCCAGAATTTTCTTCTCAGCTCTGCGAAGACCCGTTCACTTCCTGGGTGGTGAAGGAGATCGTCATGGTGCTGGATGAGAAGCTGAGTGATCTTATGTTTAGGATCAAGAACAACGGGATGAAGCATCTCAGGTTCAACATCAGTAGCGTAGCGTAGCCGGCCTCCAACTCGGATGAGCTGGGCTGAATTGTCAAAC